ATAGCTATTCAACATACCAGGTTGTCCTAATAAAGCCTACCTCAAGGAGCCTAGCAATTCTCCTTGACCTTCTGAATCACTTCAGGACTCGTCCTTCTTGGTTTTTACTTATATGGCTTGAAATTAGGCCTCATGGGGAGCCTATGTTCTACTAATGGCCTATCCAATCCTGGTAGTTCATTATAAGACCATGCAAAATAATCTTTATATCTTTTTAAAACCACCAACAACTGGTCCTTGTTTAGAGCATTCAACCAAGCACTTATATAGGTGGGCTGCTTGTAAAACCTTCCCCTAAATTAACTTCTTCCAAAGGGTCTTGTATCTGAGAATTCACTAATGCTTCTTTTTTAATCTCTTTTGTCTTCGAAGCAATTTCTTTGCTTTGTTCTGCTCCCAGTTCCTTTGATTCAACATCTTTGCCCTGCTCCTCATAGACAAAGTCTGTCCATAAGGCTTCTTCTTCCTGTATCTCTTGGATTTTTGTTTCGACGTCTAACGCACAATATTTATCAAAGGACAAAAACCTGACCTGTTGTTGCTCCTGTTTACAGCCAACTACCATGGCTTCTTTCTCTTGCTCTTGCACCTTTTGGACTATTGATTTTATGTCCAATACTAAGAACTTAATTAAAATCAAAGATCTGGCCTCATGGGTTCCATATTTTTGCCTACAACCAGGCATCATTGTCATCCTTGGTGACAAATTCTTCATCAGCACTTTCCTGGACTAAGTGCTTCAAGTGTGCTAATTCCTCATCAACTGTCACTTCGGCTGATCCATCAAGTTTTCTCAGTATACTGAGTGGTATCACTCCTTCAGTATACAATTTGGCATCTGTAAAGTCTGCACAAGCTGTGAAGGGTTGAGAGTCTGTATTGATCTCCTCTGTCTCTCCATTACACAAGGCCATCATTATCTTCTGATGTAGAGAGAAAGGCATACATTTGTTGGTGTGAATCCAATCCCTACCAAGTAGAGCATTATACTTAGCATTGCTGTCGATAACGAAGAATGCCGTCATGCAATCCTTGGTTCCCACACTCAGGTTGATGGGCAAAATACCCTGAGCCATTTGTTTGTCTCTAGCGAAACTAGCAATGGTTGTGCTAGTTGAGATTAATCTGGGGTTTCTTTTTTCTAGTTTCTTCAAAGAAGATTTCAGAAGCAGGTTTACTATTGCCCCATTATCCACCAATACCCAGTTCATCTGTATCCCATCGAAGAAGGCCTTGATATACAAGGGTTTGACATGTTGTGTCATGGATGTCGTAAGATACTCAAAAGGGTATGAGAGGTTAATACTCATCTCTTCCTCACTCTCATCTGCAGTTTCCATTAATGTGACCACTTCGGATTCGTCTTGCACCATGCTAACTTGTGAATCTTCACTAGAAACTAGAATTGGGTCAATCTCCTGACCTTCTTGATTTTCATCTTCAACCTGGAACTCCTGGGGTAGTATATGCACCATATTCACTAACACTAGAGGAAACGAGCCAAATTGGACCACTGGCTGTACCTGCTTCTTTTCCAGGCCAACTTGTTCAATTACTTCAGAAACATCTTCTATGCTGCATTCTGGTACTTCGGTACTAGTGACTTCCTTTGAATGGTTTGTTTTTGTTAGTTTTTCGACCAAAAATGTCTGTTCAGCCATGAAGGCTTCAAACATTTCCTTCTTAACCATCTCCTTCCTTTGGCCTAGACCAACTTCTCCCTCTGTCTCACTATCGCTTTCCATCAAAGCCCTTTCTAATCCTGCTAAACTGGATCTTTCTTTGGCTTTCAGTTCGGAGTGAACTTTGGCCAACTGCTCTTTGCCGCAACGCATTTTGTCTTGAGGAGTCGATTTTGGACTATGATATAACTTTGGAATTTTTCTTCCTTCTATTCGGCCCTTTGGCTGAACCAATGAAGTGCTTTCCTCACTTTCTTTCAGATCTTTCTGGTACTGAGTGTACCTTCATTGGATTTTCCTCCTTTGAGATCTAGAAATCACTTGAACCATATTTGGTTCCTTTGTTTTTGGATGTTTTAGTAACACCCAATTATTTGGAGCCACCAAGGGAGGTTTAACCATCCTACCCTGGTTTCCAATAACATTTCTTTGGGTAGGTATTTCCTTAGGTTTGTTCTACATGACAAACCAATTTGGAACTCCAGGTACTCATGAACCCATTAGCTGAGTTGTTGAACTGTCTCTTTCTTTTTTTGAAGTCAGTTTCGAAGCTGCCTGTAGAGGCCACTGTTTGGCCCTCACTCCCTGTTTTGGGCCTAATTCAGGCATTCCATGAAGGTGGCCACTTTCCATCTTGTGTGAGGCTGGTCTAAGGGGCCAATCTCTGGCTTTGATCCCATAACTTGAGCCCACTTCAAGTTTCCTCTCAGGATGATTGCCCTTCACTCATGTAGAGGTCTCTTACCCTTGGAGTGCATTCTAGTGACTGTTGGCCCAACTATGAATGGCTGCTACCTAGGACCAGTTGGATATGACATTTTGTTATAGGCACTGGTTGGTTTAGGACGCCTCTGCACATCCTTGTAATGCTACTTCTCATCAATCGGAAGCTCTTTCAACCACTTGTAGCTCAACTTGCATCTGGGACACATTCTTTGCATGATAGCTGCCTCTAAAGAGTCATCATCTAGTACCTCCTCATCAGAGTCTTCCTTTTGGTCTGCAAAGCCCTGTCCATCAACTGGTGAACTTCTAGCATCTTTCTTGACAGTAGTCTGGCTGGCAACAGGCATTTGCACATTAACCTCTTCCAATTCCTTCAAGGATAAGTTCTGGAACAGGTGTTGTGTCTGTCCTATCTATTTGCAAACCTCTGAGCCTGTCCTGCGAAAGGACTTGCGAAAGGTGTTAAAACAGGTGTTGTGTCTCTTTCAGTAGCAGGAAACCCTTCCAACCCCCTGGGTACAAATTTGAACAAAGGATTAGTGAACCCCCTTGTGCCAGGTATAGCTTCGAACATGGGATTTGGAAACATCCTTGCGCCATTTTCTTATGTTGGCCCAGATCCACTAATTTGTATGGTTTCATTGTTAAGTAATGAGGCATTTTGATTTGTCACAGGCCTCGAAAGAGGCTCATACCAAGACTGAGGTGATGGTCTTTCATAGTTTTGATTATTAGTTTAACCATTAGCATGTCCATTACTTTGTATAGTCTGTTTATCTCTAGCCAATATTTGCTGAGGGACATTTGAAGTTTCTTCTATGTGCCTTGCGTTAGTTAGTTGATGGGTATTTATTCGATCCATAAAGGATATTGCCCATCTTTCCATTATGTTCATTAACTGTTGTCCCATGGCATCTACTAGGCCTCCCCATGGATTCATTGGCTGAGTAGATGAAACAGTGGATGGTCCAACTCCATGGTCTCGTCCAATATTTTGAATATGTGGTACTTGTTCCGAAGTGCCGGTCTGTTCGACCATAGGTTCTGACAAGACAGGTACTTTCACAAGATGTGTTATCACATTATCCTCTAGATTAGGTACTTCTACCTCTCCTTCCACACCTTCTTCCAAGCGTTCATTTTCTCCTTGTCTCCTACGTATAGCCATTTCAATTAGTCACACCGGGCATGCCAAAAAATATATGTTGGTTTTTTTGGCTTTCAAAGGTTAGTATTGTAATTTTAAGCGTGCCAGTAAGGATCAATCAGTCCTTATAGAAGATTAATTGCCAACTAATTATCAGAGGATTGTGTTTCAGTTCTTTCAGCCTCAACGAAGAGGACTTTTACTGGTGGCTTTGTTTAGGAGAATTTAGCAAACAACAATTAAATGAAGAACAGTTGTAGCATTTCATTAAGTAAAAATAAAAAACTTACAATGATCTAATTCAGTCTCGTAGAAAGTCTACAACAACAAGCTGCTTGAAACTGCTCCTATGAATGAAGTGCAGTGTAGGAATTTGAAGTACAGAAATGTAAAAAACAAGATATGTAAAAACTAGAAAGAAAATAAAGTAAATAAAATTTGTTTCTGGATCTGAATTTCGGGGCTTTTTTCTGAGGCCTTCTCTGCTATTTATACTTCTCAATGATAACCGTCGAAATGAGCTTTTAACCGTCGAATCATCTCTCCATGATTACTGATCATGTTTCTTCGTAGTTAGCTCCACTACGCCCTGTCTGCAGTTAGGCTTTCCTCATGATTTTGAATTTAAATATATGAGTAACCGTTAAAGTCACGTCATCTTACATCTCTTTGCTGATCTAGTGTTATGCAGATCCACAATAACCAATACTAACTGTCACGTGTGTGATTACGATTGAAGATTTGAATTGTCTTCTCGTATTGTCATCATCCTGCCACGTATTGAACTGTGATTGGCTTGTACAAAATATGTAGCCAACAGTTTCATATATATAACTACTAATTTGTAACAAATTTCACATCTTAAATTTTTCTCACACTTATTTTTACTTTGATATTTCATTAGATGTTAAAAAGTATATATGTATTAACAATAGCGGAGCCGAGCGGTTTCGAATGCAAATTATAAAATTTAAAATTTAATCCATGACTAACAAATAAAACGGTACAAATTGATACGAATCGATGTAATTTTAACAAATTACACGATATTTTGCACAACCCTACAAATAACAAACAATTGTTACCATGTGTTAATGCAATTTGAGAATTCATTTATTATCCATAATGTAAAGTATTACAAAGGATTTCATTAATCTAAAAACTGCCTCTTTGTACCAATTGAGGTTATAACGTTGTCACACAATTTCTTTAAGTACTTTCATGCACATTGCTGATAAAATAATAGGTACATTACATTGACTACCCTTGAGATTTATTGGGGGAAAACCCTACAAAATTAACCTCTTTTGGAATGTTTAAATTAATGTAGATGGATGTAAATAAATTAATAATCAGCAACAAAATATATATTTCAATGTAAAAAAGATAATAACATGACTTGTCAATCCACATGACTTAACAAAATTAATAAAAAAGGAACACAATTAAAGTCTTAAAAGAGCATTATGCATTATTCCAAACTTGTAAGATTCGATGTATTTTCTGAAGAGATTAATATAATTTACCATAAAACAAAAGAGCAAAGGGGGAAAAAATGGCACAATCTTCAAGTTACCTCACTAAAAATACACATTTGTGCATCAGGGAAGGGAAAAAAAACAACGGTACTCATTTTAACCTTAATCTTAAATAGGCCTAGACAATACAAATAAAGCTGACAAGGCTAATCTTCACATAAAGAGTTTGTTTAATTAAACGAAAGCAATATGACCCCGATAGAAACTCAAACTAAATAGGATGAAGATTGCAACAACTAGCTGTGGAATGTGAGAACTTGGGAGGAAGAGTCATGATAGGTTCATCTCCAGTCAGCTTCCTCACAGCCATTCCCAGTGCAAATCCCAAGGCACGTGCAACTGGAATGGCCACCGCATTCCCTACTTGACAGTATCTGCCCAATGGTACAATATAAGTCACATGTTTAAAAAAAAAAACTACGAATATGCATGGAATTTAGTAGATCAGACAAGTAGTGCTGAATTTGTTCCAAAAAAACAAAAGATTAATGTTGAACCAGTGGGTCATGCAAGTGTCATGGGAACCATCAAGTGTAACTTTTGAGCAGTTTTAAGAATGATTAGGAACAGAATCTGAGGCCCACCACTGGTTGGGCACTATGAGTGTAAGCTAAAAGTTGATAATAAAAAGTAGTAGTTAAAAGCATCCCTTTAATAACTTTCCAATAATAAGTTTTTTCTAGCTTATTTAAGCTATTTTTTGCCTCATAAGCTCTAATTGTTTGCCTTGTAACTGTAAGTAAAAGTACAACAAACACTCACACAAACTCCCAAAATAAAAAAATAAAGAAAGAAAAGCTATAATCAACCTCTAAAAGCAAACCAAACAGGGCCTATGGAAGGTTCATCCGGTTAGAGGATCGGGAGCCGACATCCCTTCCCCCCTCCCCCTTAAATAACATATTATGTGATGTTCTCTCATGGACCAATTTTTTTCGTTTTAGAAGAGCATTCTAGTATACATGTCATCATTATCTTATGCATTGGATAAATTTTGGAGCATTATAGTTTTATACATCCTGAACGACAGGACTAAAGCTAGATGTAGGCCACAAAGCTGTATTTCCAAAGATGAATTTTCTTTAAACGCATAACAAATAGTCAGCTCCCTCATTGCTCCCGTTATTTTTCTTCGAAAGGTATAATCTGCCAATTTTTACTTTCTAGATGTGTGCACTTGCAAAAGAAATGCCATGAAATATTTTTCACAGAAATATAAAAATCATGATTCAAAAAAAATATATTTAGCATACTTCAGAATTATAACTCAGCAAAGGAAAATAAATACGCACCTTTCTTTCACACTTCCACAAAACTCGTAATAATCAGGAAACCCTTGCAATCTTGCACACTCACGAATTGTGAGAACTCTATCTTGCTCGGGATGTAAAATTGACTAGACAAATTGAGCACATCAGAATAAAATCTTGCTTACACTATTAGCTGTAATCAAGGGTGGCTCATACCTGGCTGTGAAGATCTGGTCGACACAGAAGAGTTGGCACTGTTTCATCCCACCATAATCGTGAAAATGGTCTGCATGTTGGTAATACATCAAACACTCAGGGAAAAAAAGAAAAAGAAAAAGAAAGAAAAGAAAATAAATAAAATACTGGCAAAGACATCTTCACCTTGTAGACTTTCCATCACAGAAATTTATTGCATAATCAGGTACCTAGATATGACCAGAACAAGTATAAATAGAAGGTAAAATACAACGCAAATAGTGACTGAAGGAAAAAAAATACTTTCATTCAACATGTACACAAGAATTTCATGGAAGGATAGAAGATAGAAACAGGCTCAAATGTACAGAACAGAGAATTAACTATATAAGAAAGACAAATCTATTCATTGATCTAAAAATGGATTTTCCTCTACCTAGAGAAGTTCTATTTCTCTCTCCCCACACCAACCACATCAAATTTAAGAGAACAAAAATATCATGTCTTCTTCCTTCTCCTCAGTTCTCAAGCTGTTGATCAAGAACAAAACAACTCCCCAAGCATCTGTGAGAAGACCCACATACCAAACAAGAGAAGGGGCAATGACCACAACTCCCTCACCACCTCAATGAATTACGACATGATTCACTGATTCCCCATTTTTCCTACATGTGCAACAGTATTTATTAATTTTTAAAATATTTTTTTACAAATTTTTTACTTTTTAGACACATCTAAGTAAGGTGCATCTAAAAAAGTAAAAAAAATATTTAAAATTTAAAAAATATTCATTAAAAACAAAAAAACACGAAAATCAAAAAAAATCAGTTTTTAAAAAATTTAATCCAGAAAATTCAAACCAAACACACTGATTAGATCTAAGGTCAGTGAAGTTAAAAAAATATTAGATTTGTTAACATACACATATTTATATACATATATATATATATATATATACACTAGCGGTAATCTGTGTGATGAATGAAAAAATAGACTATATACATTTTGTGTGATAAATAAATTATCTAAACCTTGAATTATATTTTAATGACGGCAAACCATGATGTTAGATAATTAACCCACAAAATTTCACAATAAAATTTGATATGCATAAAAAATTGTTAATTATAAAGATTGTTGGGAGTAATTGTATCACAATCACTTAATAGCATAAATTACTTGCATCAAACTATAGTCTTATGCTGAGGGAAAAAAAAAAAAACACACAAAGTATTAAAAGAGGGAAACTCTATAAACTCATAAAAACTATCGTAGATTTATTTAGGTTTTTAAATCAGTGGTGTATATTATTATTGTGAAACCAAATTTTGAATAAATCCCAATTTTTAATTATAATTTTTAAGTAGTTTTCAGATTTTTTTAATCTAAATTTATTGCCCTACTCATAAAAAGAACTTCCTAAACAAATCATTAATTGATTCCATTAGTAACACTCTATCTTTGGTATCCTCTATCAATGACGCGTACATATCATATCAAATTATAAATCATTCTCCATAATCATTTTCTCTATATCTTGAATAATGGTTGCACAGTTCCTACATCATTTAAAAAATAAATCAAAAAAAGATCTTCACAGGATTATAAAAATTATATAAGAAAATAGTTTTAATCTATTTTATTTAAAAAATAAAATGATGACAAACTATTTTTTAATACTTGGAGAAATATGTCAAATGATAGTTTTAATCATTATATACCAACAAAAAATATCATATAGGCTACTCAATGAAAAAATGGTCGCAACTAAAGTCATGAATATTGAATTAAATCATGTGGGCTCCAAATTGATAATATATTCTAGCAAATCAACTAATAATAAAAAGAGAGATCGACAAATATATAGTATTTCCCTACCATCTTTGTATTATGTTTGTACAGGGAGGAAATAATTCTCCTCGTATAATCCTGTTGACCAATTCCACGCTCCTCCGTACGACGTCGCTTTATCACCTGAAAACACAAACGTGAGCTAGCCGGCGGGTGTGTGCCGGAAACCTTTCCGATGCCTAAGTCAGTAAGTTTGACAAATAGATAAAGTTTTATGTTCTCAGAAAGAATTGTGTTCAATTACCTCCTCCAAGGTGATGCTTGTGGGCTTTTGTAAGTTTTCCGTGGCACAATCCTAGTAAGACTTGTACTTCTCCATGCAGAGTCCTCCTAGGATTCATTCTCCTAAGGATAATACTTATCCTTTTACACCCTCCCCCACTGCTTAAACCAAGTGGGATGGTTTTCTCCATGGCCGAATTACTATTTGACCGAAGTAACATTAGCTATGCCAAGCCACAAAGTGGGCCGTACTAACAGTAGTTTGGTTTTTCTTCATGCTATACCATATCTCGGTTCTCTCATACACGAACCGTGGTATGCTTGGACCGATCTACTGAGTAGCTACATTCCGACCGACCTATCCTGAATTCATCATGACCGGACTACCTTTCTTGGGACCGTACTAACTCAAGTTGTCCAAACCGAAGCAGCTTTACGATTCCTTAGCCGAAGTAACTTCATCTCTTTTGACCGTAGTAAGTCAACATCTCGGAATAAATCTATCGTTCTTAAACCGGAGTAACTTTAACAGCTTGGGCCGGAATAACTTCGTGGCCTTTTCACCAAGTCCTTGGTGTTTTGGGCCACGAAGCCCACCACATAGCTCGGCCCAATTTTTACCAAAAATTACCCTCTCAAAAAATATACATCAAAACCAATTACAAAACTCCTAAACATAAACATAGAACTTTATATAAATTACTTTCATCTAGATGAAAACTAAACTTAAGACCCACATGGCTAGCTTAGTGGTAAGGGTTTTTATTTAAATAAACTAAAAATTTGAATGTTTTATGTTTAACTATTTTGGGTGTTTGCCCATCTTAATTAATACACATAATTGGTAAGTTATTAACAGTCCAATCTTGTTCACACCCTCAAAGTATAATATACTTATCCACCCAAAAAAGTATAATATACAATTTTGATTGATATAGAATAATGGGGTTAATAATTTTAGATTTTCAATACACTTTCTATAAAACCAACTATTTTAAAAGAATTATATATTATATTTTGTTAACGCATTCAAAAAGTATGCATATAAATTTATTTTATAAGATTTACTCCGTATGAATGGGTCTAATTTAGTGAAAATCTAAATGCATGTGTAAAGAGGACATGTAACAACTACCATTAAAGGGTTGTGTCAATGAGAAACCAGACATCATTTTTGAAATTCAGTACTAATGAAAACAGTTGGTGAATGAATGAGACCCAAAAAACACACTATCAACTTTTGATTTCTATTCTCATTCACCTTTCCATCTTCCACTTTTATCCTCTTTTTCTATCTTTGAACCACTCTTAGATCCAAAATCACATAGCAACCGAACTAGGATCCTGTTTGCCCCCAAATAGATAGATCTTTGTAGTCAATAACCGAACTGGAACTTGAAAGTTTCAAAGGGGTTACCAGAGTCTAACTCGCTTTAGCCGAAATAAGATCACCAAGTTTTGAATATAGCAAACTAGGAACCTCGGTGGTCAACCGAACTAAGCTTTTGGGTCCAAGTCGGCTCTCTTGGTTCCTAAACCGAACTCAGAAAGCCGCCCCAGAGGCATAACCGAAGTAACTCTATTCACATTGTAGCCGATTTAGGCCTTGGGGCTAAACCAGCTCTCTTAGTCTTTTAGACCGAACTCAGAAAGCTGCCCCTAGACGTTAAACCGGTTTACCGAGCAAACTGCTCAAACCGAGCTGCCAAACCTTTTGATGAACCGAGATAGAACCAGTTAATTTGAGGCCGAAGTAGGGCTCTTATACCTTGCTTTTAAATTGTAGCACGGTCCATTGATCAGTGCTTTAACCCCCCTCTGTTTTTTTTTACTTTGCAGACTTAGGTTACCCAGGCACTCCTGTGTGCGCTCAACCGAGCTACTGAGCACGATTTTCGCACCGATATAACTTATAAGTAAATTAAACATCAGATGGGTAAGTATAGGTATCTAGTTGAGACCTCGGGCGGCTTAGCCGAATTCAGGAAAGATTACCAAATACCTGACGACGTCCAGCTGGTTTTGGCCGAAAAAGACATCACACCCTGGGATAATGAAGGCTTCGTCCCCTTTACTCTGCAATCCATAATAGAAACCGGACTACGGTTTCCTGTCCAACCATTGATCTGTGAGTTCCTTAGGCAGACTAGGTTATGCCCCACCCAACTATCCACCAATACATACCGTATTATTATGGGAATAGCCGCACTAAACCACCAAACCGGTTTAAACCTTGGCCTTGCCGAAATATTCCATCAATATTCCATCGGCTCGAAAGATGCTGGGTGGGTCTATTACCTTAGGATCCGCCGCCGCCGAGAGAAGATTGTTAAGCACACACCGGACAAAGACCTTAATGATGATGACTTCTTCTGGGTCTCTGGGAATTTTGAGGATTTTCAAGCCCAAATTCCTGGCCGACCTATAAATTGGAAGAAGGGAGAGCCTGGTAATTTAACTTCGGTCTTCTTCCTTGTATTTTATTTCGGTTTTTGTTAGTCTATTAGCCGAACTGACACTTCTCTTTCTTGCAGATTTCGCCCATCTTCATTCCTTATATAGTTATCCAAACCTTGCAATTTTGCGAGCTGCACTACGAATTAAAGAAAGAAGTTGGGCAAAGCTTCTGAACTTTGAGCCGACCTACCGGTACAGCGGTCGCCGAAAAGCAAGAGTAACTGACTTTCTCCTTGAAGAAGCCCCAGAGCCGGACCCAACTTTGCCCGAAATAAGACTTGTCCCACTAACCGCTGAAGAAGAGATGGCGAAGAGGAGCAGAGTTAGGGCCCTTCTCACCGAAACAACTAGGCCCGAAGTAACGCCTCCCAGTCAATCGCAGCCTGCTGTTGTGGCCCTCCCTTCTCAACAGCCATCCTCTTCCCGCCGAACCAAACGTGCCCGAACTGCCGAAACCGAACAAGTTTTAGTTGATGAAGAACCTGCTATTCAGCCGAGCTTACCACCAAGCCCCCAACCGGAGTCTTCCGACCGAACCATCGGCTGCTGGGCACCGAAACTAACTTTCAACGACCGAGACATTCTAGATACAGACTCGGCTGTTGCTGAGAAAGACCACCTGTTGGCCATCAATCTGGCCAAGAGTGTGTGTCTGCCCAAAGACATGGAGCATCACCAAAAACAGTTAACCACCGAGCTG